CTATCAGAATCAATGCCTGACGTGTTTTGGACATAATATGGTCTTTGTTTACATTAGCAAGCATCGCTAACACTCGGAGCTAACTTGTACTGGAGAGAGTATGTGTAAGAAGCAGGATATAAAAAGGAACTCACCTTGTGGTAAACCCGCAAGAGAAAAAGCATTTGAGCTCCATACTGTTTCAGAAATAATCCTTGATGTGGTTTTGAACATGATATGGCGTTTCATCACCGCAGCATTTAGACAGTATCTGACGAATCAGCACTTTAGTAACAGGGCTGAAACGGAGGGATATGAGGCATGTCTAGAATGGGTGATCTGTTTGGTATTTTGAGCAAAACACTACATAGACATGTTTTTTATATATTTGTATATATATGAGACCTATGCTATTGCCTAAAAATAGCATGATAGGTGACCTTTGAAGTGGACCTATCATGCTATATTTGAATAATATATTGTAGGGCCATACCTATATAAAACGTTTTTTTTTCAAAATACCAAACAGATCATGCATTTTAGCCATGCCTCATTTCGCTCTATTTGCTATTTTCCAGCCCTGTTTTTGCAAGGGCTGATTCTGTGAGAAGTCTTCTTCGCTGCTTTTGTGGCAGACTACAGCGCCACTTACAGGCCTGGCATATGTACTACAGCGTCTCCAGCGCTTTCGAGCAGCAATGGCCAGCGGTGGCCCAATCCCCCATTCCCCTGATAGGTGGAGAGTTGCCCATATAGGCGGAGCACCACTTTTCTGACGTCAGAAAAATTCAAATCTGTATCAGCTCCGTTGCAGCCCCGTTTTTAGAGATTTGGGTATGGAGGAAAAGAGAGAGGGTTGTGTTTTCTGACACTTGGTGAGTTCCCTGACACACCGGGGACACATATTCATGTATTAAAGACATACAAAAGTGCATTTTGCATGATAGGTCCCCTTTAAATCTTGATTCAGTTTGACATATCTTACAGCTCAGTGAAGAGGTGAAACAACATTTTCACAACATAAACTGAGGGACATAAACTTGAATTTACAATCTCAAATATCTACATTTGGTGGCATCTATGGTGAAAAGCGATAATTGCAGGTGTGTCTTTAGGGCTCACTTGCCAGAGACAAACAGTGCTTGTGGTTTTTCCAGGAAATTATCCCACAGTCACATGGTTCATTATATTGCAAAAGGTATGGCTTTTATTAGTGGGGGATAGTGACCTCAGCATTTTGGCAAACTCACTCCAAGTGTTAGATGGACATCTCTATCATATCTGTACGATACCACACACATCATACATAATAGGCATACTATTTTTTAAGGTGATGGGCTCAGTGAGGATTCACTGCCGGATGATTTTCCACTAATATTGGCACTTGTCTCCCTCAGGACCACCGTTAAATAGACCTACTCACTCAACTAATCATCCAAGTTTTGTCACTGAAACTTAACTAGCTTTTGTTTCTCGAGGCACTGCAGGACAAAGAGGATTTAGAATGTTAATGTCAGTGAAGTGTCTTCAGGTAATTACGGAGGGCAGTTGACCATGAAATTCAACCCACCTTGTTGTTCAGTGACATTTAAATTATCGGAACCGCTCACAGACTCATCCTTTGAAAAGGTCTCTGTGCAGTTTGTGTCTCTTTGTTGTGTGTGTGTGTGTGTGTGTGTGTGTGTGTGTGTGTGTGTGTGTGTGTGTGTGTGTGTGTGTGTGTGTGTGTGTGTGTGTGTGTGTGTGTGTGTGTACATGTGTTATTCCATCTTCGTGACAGCACGTCCAGGTTTTAGAGCAGGGACATTTTTCACAAGGTGAGGTCAGTTTACAGTAAGGGAATTCATTAAGTGAAAGGTGCTTCTAAGGGTAGCTTTTCAAGGGTATAGAGGCGTAAATAAATATGTGTTTGTATGCGTGTAAATGTGTGTGGCTGAATGTCTAAATAACAATCACTACCAAGTTGACATTTTCAACCCATACTGTGAGTGAATTTATGGTAAGTAATATGGTGTGTGCAAAAGGGTTAATGGTTCACATTATGCACATACATATCCATAAAACCATAATGAGCTAGCCATATGTATTGTAGTGTGTGTGAGCTGTGTTCCCTGACCCTATTGATATTCCAACGGAATGTAAGTATTGTCGGAGTAGGATCCCTGTTGACTCAATTAGGGCTGCATATTGTCCTGCAAATCATTGAATAATGTGGGGACCGAGACATTGACACTGTCTGAGTTTGAATATAAATGACTGACTATACAATAATTATTCACCCCATAGTTATGAGCTTTATTATTGATGACCATGTCACATAATTCAAGCTTGAGTGACATGTTGGAGATCACTGACAAATTCAAACTGGATCATTTCCTGTATGTCCATCAGAATATTAACTAACCCAGCACTGTGTGTGCATACACTGCCTACCCAAAGGAATTATATAGTATATACACTAACTTATTTTGTCTTACGAGGTATAGTATTGGACATATGTAAGAGTGTTATATTTGTACCTATACTATACGTGCTGCATCTGCTATTTTTCAGTGCAGACATTGATTGCTCTGAGAGCTTTTCCACTGGAAGCCTATTGTTTTGTTTTGCTTTCACGAGTAAACTTACATGTAGTCTCCCAGGTCCAAGGAAAATAATGCAAACAGAAAATATCAAGGGCTGAAATGTACTGTTGCTGAGACTCAGCCAGCTAAAGAGACACAATACATAAAAAAAGCTTCCCTATTTTATTGTAGCTTTCTGTCTGTTCAGAAATATAGAAATATTGTCAGATGTGGTGAGGTTCATGCCCTCCATTAATGTTTTATGTTGGCTCTATACTATATAGTATTTCTTTGAAAGGTAGTGTCTCTAGACTAGAGCAGTGCTTCTCAAACTTTTTTCAGTAATGTACCCCCTTTGAAACATTTTCTCAGCCAAGTACCCCCTGACCGACCCCGAATATTGTTGATAGAAAAGGCCTATAAATAATTATAATATAGTGATGTTCCATCAGTGTGTGATGTATTAACTCTTTCATGCATGAATTACAACAAACTAAGCATATTTTCATCTTGATGCATGAGAACGAAAACAAATTAAAACAGATTTTTCAATTGAAGTAATATATGTTTAACAAACCAATGAACAAATTGATTATGCAAAAACTATAAAATACAATACACACATTTGACATGTTTATATGAGGACCCCCTTGGTGGTTCTAGGAATGTTTGATATACAATTGTGTTTTCTATTTAACTTATTGTACTAAGATTATTTTTGTAATCATGCGTGGTGTTTTTTAATTAACCTTTTTCTTTGGAATCTCACGTACCCCCTGCAGTACCCCCTGCAGTACCCCAACGTACCCCTAGGGGTCCGCGTACCCCCATTTGAGAATCACTGGACTAGAGTATAGAGATCCACTGGACCCTGACTGTGCAGCACATGGTTCTAAGAAACTGAGAGCAAGCAAGATCTGGTCGTATCGGGTGCAAAATTATACTAAGTCTAATGCGGTCAGGTAGGTTCTGCCTCTGATCACTTTGTGCATCATAATCAATTTCAAAATCAGAAGATCTATCGCAAAAAAATGACAATTATTACCATATTTTAGAATTTGCCAAACAAAAACTTAATTGGTTTAAAAATGACAATCTTGTATCTATCTTTCCCAGATGGCCACAGCATGTTTTATTGTTGGAGTAAGTGCTGAAAATACACTTTTTATTATTTCTATTATCCTCCAGAGCATAAAAACTAATTGATTTTGGAAATAGTTTCGCTCTTAGTAAATTATTATCAAACTGCAGATGTAGCCAGTATTCTCTCTTTGTTAGGACTGTTCGGGTCTAATTATCTTCGTCACTGTTTGGACTCGGTCTCTTTGATGAAAAATGATGTATCTAAGGAAACCTGACAGATATCCACATGTAAAGAGGATTCACAAAAAGCCTGCTCTAATAAAATGAATAATATCAAATGACAATGAAAGAATATGACAATGTTAAAGGGGAGTAAGGAACCTACGATAAAGAAAAACTGAACCCTCAGCTCTTCTTGGCTTTACAATTTTACCCTTTTTGTTCTCTCACTGCTCACAGCATTTTGGCCTCTTTTTTTAAACAAAAGCTCTAAAAACATACTGAACCTGCTCAACACCAAACAGCAGACAGACAATGAGCAACTTGTGGGTAAATAAAGTGAACCATGTAGCTCCCAACAGCCAATATTTTCCACACGAACCTAAAGGGTAAAAGAAAAAATAATTATGTTGTATATTACAATCTCTAAATGTATAATGTTGTTTCATAACTGCTGGATTTGGAAATCAGCAATGTTTGCTAACAAGTTTGCAATATCTAAAAGGTAATTGCAGTCGTTGTTCATAACTTATTTTTGCTGCCGCAGAGTGGCCCAAAACAATTAATCTGTTTTTACTACAATAGTTAAAGGTAAAGGTTCCAAGGTGATCCAGTTTCAGCCCTCTTGAATGATCAGCTACGCCCCTGCTGAGATGTATCCTGTTGTTAATTAACTCAGCTGGCAGTAATTGCCTTTGATAGGTGAATTGGAAATAAAATATGGTATGAAACAAACTGTATGAGTTGTTGAAGACGACAAAATTATGTTGTATATTTCTTTTAACTATTTCTGACCGACGACGAATGGGTACATCGTTTTTCAATCATTAGTGCACTTTCTGCGCATCGTTCTGTTCGAGTTTTCCCATAAATGCAGATTTGGTCCACAGTCCGCCCTGCAGGGAGAGAGAGGGATATAGAGAGAGCGAGGGAGAGTGAAAGAGAGAGAAAACAGAGAGAGAGAGAGAGAAAACAGAGAGAGAGAGAGAGAAAACAGAGAGAGAGAGAGAGAGAGAGAGAGAGAGAGAGAGAGAGAGAGAGAGAGAGAGAGAGAGAGAGAGAGAGAGAGAGAGAGAGAGAGAGAGAGAGAGCGAGCGAGCGCGCGCGCTCCTACTCCTCCTCCATTCTCTTCCCACCACTCATCCCGCAAAAGGCAAGACGGTCTGTACGGCGGAGTCCTCTCATCAAATCTCCTCTCGCATAATGGAAACTGAATTAAAACATCTGTGGTACGTCCGTCTCCGGTACTTTTCCGCTTTCACCTCAGCAGTAGCCCAATGTCGCTCTCCTGTTTGCTAAAATAACTTCTTCTTTCCTGGTTATGTTTTCTCCCAGACACGCTTTCAGAAAGACCAAAGCTACGATTTGTTACTAAACTGCTCTGGAACAAGGTCGTTTTTCTTTGGATGGATAATTTTTCAATCGGTGAGTTGTAATCGAAGATAAAGCTGTTGATACCTGCAGCTGTATTAAGTCATCAACCTGTTAGGCAAATCGGTTTTGCTTTTTCCGGGTTGAGGGGTAACATAAAAGCCAAAATGTCCTCAAGGGTCGTCAAAAACGCTGTTTTAGATTCGGCTCCATGCAACTAATTTCCATCGTGGATCAACTGCTTTCATACATTTAGAGGGAAATCAGTTTTGTAGTTGGAACTCAACAGGTTTTAAATCTCGTGCTGGTATCTCTATCAGGGATACTACAACCTTGAAAATGTGCCTGCTAATATATATTTTAAGCAAAAATGACCTATACATTAAGTACAATTATACCCAACGTTGTAATATTTACCATTTCACACATGCAACACAATGTGCTTTACATCAAGATGAAATGTGCAAAATAAAATGTAATGCATACACTCTTTCCCCTCCACAAACTGTACACACACATGCTATGAATATAGACAATGTTATGTAGCCTTGCTTGCTTGCCTAGTTTTTTTAACTACAAGATGCAGTGAGCTTTCATCCTCAGAAAGCTGCTTCCAAACTCTAACCTAATAGAGTTTCTTAGATTCTCAGAGAATCTAAGAAATATAGCCTGGAAATAGTTATTAGGATGATGATGCTTGGTGGAAAATGCATCGTATCCCTGTAATCGCAAAGGTTTTTCAGCTTGAATGTGATATTGAATATGCCATTGAATATAGTTTTTGCTGTCTCAGTAGATTGCCATTTAGGATAGTTTAGGATATAAGTTGCATTGTTTGTGTGTATCTTCATTATTACGTCCATTCCCTTTTTTTTACCGGCCTCACTAAATCTGTTCTTCAACAACATGTTCCTTTCTCTCACATCTGTAACATTAATTTATCTTTAGCTTTTTTCTAATAGTTTACTACCTCTCTCCTGTGATAATCAAACAGCTCTCCTGTCCTTCCTGGCCATACAAACTATCTTGCTCTCATCCCTTTAGATGGTGAATGAGCTGAAGTCAAGCTGGTTGTGAAGGTGCTGGACTTGTTCCCCTCTAAGCCCCAAGCCAGACACAGCATGGCGGCAGGAGTAGCGGCATGGCTTCCCTTTGCCAGGGCGGCAGCGATCGGCTGGATGCCTGTTGCCAATTTGCCCATGCCAGTCGCGCCCGCCGAGAAGAACAGGCGGCAGGATGAGCTCATCATTCTGAATGTCAGTGGACGCCGCTTTGAGACTTGGAAGAACACGCTGGACCGCTATCCAGACACCCTTCTGGGGAGCTCGGAGAAGGAGTTCTTCTACAACGAGGAGACCAAAGAGTACTTCTTCGACCGGGACCCTGATGTGTTTCGCAGCGTGCTCAACTTCTACCGCACAGGCAAGCTCCACTATCCACGCTACGAGTGCATATGCTCCTATGATGAGGAGCTGGCTTTCTTTGGCATCATCTCAGAGATCATCGGTGACTGCTGCTACGAAGAGTACAAGGATAGGAAGAGGGAGAATGCAGAACGTCTCATGGATGACCAGGAGGACAAGAAGGACGCTAAACTACCCAACATGACCTTCAGGGAGACCATGTGGAGGGCTTTTGAGAACCCCCACACCTCTACCATGGCTCTGGTCTTCTACTACGTCACTGGCTTCTTCATTGCTATTTCCGTCATTACCAACGTGGTAGAGACGGTGCCCTGCGGTACGGTGCCCAACCAAAAGGAAGTGCCGTGTGGTGAGCGCTACACTGTGGCCTTTTTCTGCATGGACACGGCCTGCGTCATGATCTTTACCGTGGAGTACCTGATGCGCTTGTTTGCTGCTCCGAGTCGCTACCGCTTCATGAGGTCAGTCATGAGCATCATCGATGTGGTGGCCATCTTGCCCTACTACATTGGCCTGGTGATGACTGACAATGAGGACGTGAGTGGTGCTTTCGTGACTCTCCGTGTTTTCCGCGTGTTCCGCATCTTTAAGTTCTCCCGTCACTCGCAGGGCCTGCGCATCCTGGGCTACACTTTGAAGAGCTGTGCCTCGGAGCTGGGCTTCCTGCTTTTCTCCCTCACTATGGCGATAATTATCTTTGCTACCGTCATGTTCTACGCAGAGAAGGGTTCAAGCTCCAGCAAATTCACCAGCATCCCAGCCTCCTTCTGGTACACCATCGTTACTATGACAACACTCGGGTAAGAGCAAAGCAGACACCTCTTTTATCTTTTGTGTGTGTGTGAGTGTGCACATGTGTATTGCAATTGGGCCTGTTATGTGTGAGTAAATGTTAGATTCGACTTGAAATCTGTTTCTGACAGCGTGGCCCAAAAACTGAACTGCTTAAAAAGTCAGCGCCACCCTTTGGAAGACATACTTTATAAACTTTTTGCATAATGATAACTGACTACAGAGAAATTGAACTTTTCTGTATTCACTGTTTTTGTAGCTGACGGTAATCTTCTGGGGAAAGAGAGGCCTTCAGGATATTTCCTTCTAGTAATGGCTGTGCCAATGCATGCCCTTTTCACTGACAAGAGGGATAGGGAGAAAAGAGAGATTGTAGAGGAAAGTGGAACGTGAAAGGAATGTTATTGAAACAAAAACATTGGATAGACGATGGAGGAATAGCTATTATACTATTACTTTGCTCTCCACCATTTACTTTGGTTAGCAGACATGCTCTCCCATTTCAGGATGAAAAGCCTTCCTTCTCCACCACTCACATTTCATGAGTGACACTAGTTGCTGGCCTTGAGGCTTTGATGCAGAATATCGAAATTCTCTCCATTTTAATAGTACAATGAGTGGTTTGCATTCGGGGTAAGGATCAGGGATCATCATTGTGATTTATTGTTAATCTGAAGCTTAGGTCTGTTGATATATTTTGGGTTTACAATGTCATTGGTTTGGGAGAGTTTTACAAGAAGAACATGAGGAGCATTTTGATGAATTGATTCCCAACCTGTTTATCTTCATTTTTATGTCATTTCCACAAGTTGTTTTATAGCAGTGAGGGGAACCACACATGCATCATTAGTTTTACACTGCATGCACGCACACAGAAACACACACATACATACTCCCGGTTCTGTGATGCAGCACTATTAGGCTTAATGGTAATGTTTCATAAGCATCCCCTGTTGTGGATGTGTGAGTCAGACTGAGAGGCTGACAAATTGCAGCTTCCTGCTAAATGTCAGACTCACGGAGCAGCTCATTGCTGTGACACACTTGGCCCCTGTCATTGTGCCCCCCCCCCCATTCACAACCTGCCCAAAATATCTGGTGTTGAGCAGGTGTTCATCTATGGATTGATTGTTTGCTATTTAAGGTAAGATAAGCAACTAAATTGTGGAGCATGGCATTCTCTGCACTGTTGTTCATTTCGTGAACTTGCAGCAACTTGCTTTGCTAGCTTTTAATCTCTAAATGTGACCCTAAAACAGTCTCATATTGCTTTACAGTAGGACTTTGAAAGAGGAGGGTGTGTGTGCGCATAACATGTAGGGGGGGGGGGGGGGGGGGGGGGGTGTTGATCTTGGCCTCATCAATAAAACTGAGTCCAGAAGTGGGTGTCAGAGTGACTAACGATGTGGCCCTCTGCATCTGCTGACTAATGTAAACCTGTCTGACATAATGGTCTCTGCTCTATGTTTACGTCATAAACACACACAATCTCAGCATACACACAGAGAAAGTGCTTGTCTTAGTGCATGTTTCAAGACATAAAGCATTGTGTGCATGTTAAAATACATTGTATGTGATTCTTTCTGGACATGGTGTAAGCATGTTTCCGTCTTACAGTGATTTCAAAGTAATATCTTTGTTTAAAGTTTTCCTGGCCTTTCCTTTTTTAACTTGAATTTATATAACAATCTTGAATGTCTGCTCTGTAGCAATTCTACTTATCTTACTAAAAAAGATGAAAGACAGTTCCCACAGACAGACAATGTTTTCTTGACTTCTTGTCATCATGTCTAGGTGCCTCAGGGTTTAGGGTTACGCTGTTGAGAGTGTCTTCTGCTTTGTTCTCCTTGTGGATTTACTCAAATCATCTGCACTTTAATACTTAATTTACTGCTGCCTTGTGAGCCTAAGCTTGAGGTGTTTCTGCTGCACTATGAGAAATGCAATCAGGAGAGACGGTTTTGATGTAAGAAATAATAAAAGGGATCCACAATTAATGTAATGGTGAGTTTGGCGATTAGGCCCCGTTGTGCAGGAGTATCATTCGGGAGGGGAGGACCGATCCGATGAAACCCCCCTGGGGTCTAGACACTGGTGGTGGTGAATGGATAGTTGGGTCGGTCTGAAGAGGAGTGGCTAAGCTTGACCCTGTATTCAGAGGGACAGGAGGTGAAAAGGGGTGGAGGATGATTGCGTCGAATCACCTGAAATGACAGCTGTCGGAGGGAGAGAGTAGATTTAAAAGGTTCAGCAGAGCGCTATGATAGGCTTGTGGGAATAGAGCAAAGTGATTGGTTAAGCTGGGGAGTGACGCCCCCGATCACTTATTGAGAGGAGAGAGAGTAGTAACATGGAAATAGTAAATGAAGAGTAAAGACGGTCTTCCTGGTTGAATTTACGCTGAGCTTCATTAGTGTGCTTCCATTTTCTCTAATGTTCCTGTAAATGTATGTGCGATTTGGTGTTGTTCACATGCAAACACATACTGTATTTCACACAGCAAGGGTGCCCTGTCTTTGCCTTATTTATGTGGCTTTTTCTTTATGTTTTGTTTATTCGACAATAATCCGGACTCAACTAGAATCCATAATCCCTTTTTCAACAACAAAAGACCAGGTGGAAAGCTTTTGGAATTGCAGCTCTTCTTTTTGTGATGGAAGTTGCTTCAATGGCAGCAGCATGTCAGAAAGGAAGGAAAATGGAGTAAGTGCTAAGAGGAGAGGGAGAACATTGAGGAAAGTGAGGCAAGGCAAGTTTATTTATATAGCACCTTTCAACACAAGGCAATTCAAGGTGCTTCACAAAAATGAAAGACATTCAGACAAAGGCATTTAAAAACAGTCATTAAAAAGAAAAGATAATAAAAGAAACATTAAAAGAAAAAATACATGAATAAAAAGTACATGAATAAAAAGTTACAGTGCAGTTTAAGATATGAATAGTTCACACAGAAGTTCCACTTTACTGATGAACACAACGGCTCAGTTTAAATTAAAAGCAGCAACAAAAAGAAAAGTCTTCAGCCTGGATTTAAAAGTAGTCAGAGTTGCAGCGGACCTGCAGGTTTCTGGGAGTTTGTTCCAGATATTTGGAGCATAATAACTGAACGCTGCTTTACCGTGTTTAGTTCTGACTCTGGGGACAGAAAGCTGACCAGTCCCTGAAGACCTGAGAGATCTGGATGGTTCATAATTTAGCAGGAGGTCAGAAATGTATTTTGGGCCTAAACCATTCAGTGCTTGTAGGCTTGTATGTATTGCTTCTTGTAGTCTTGTATTTATTGTGTCTATCTTATTCGTTATATTAGCTGCAATACTGAATTGCAGAGGACATGTAAATTAGTTTTGTTACAAACAAGAAGTCTAAAATCTTCAAAGGCAGAGCCTCGAGGCCATGCTGCTCCTTATGACCAACTGGACAAAAATAGGTTTAACCACCCTTGCAAGATGGCGAGCCACCAACAAACACTGCCATCCTTGGGGCCCTGTGCTCACTCTATTGCAGAGCTAAAAAGCTTAGCTTAAATCCGGCAAATGAGGGGCAGGGAGGCACACAGTGGTGAGGCTTTAGTTAAATCAGAGACATTAAGGCAAAAGGACCTGTGAGGGATTGTGTTCTCGAGGTTGTTAAACAAATTGATTTTGACCTTTTTTGAGTGATAATAACTTTTTGCATTTGTCATAATTGGTTGGTTTGTATTATAAACTGCTGTGTAGCATGGGAGGAGAGAGAGGGTTTATGTTCGTGAGAGATATGCTGCAACTAAACCTCAGTTTTTCATTATTTGTCCTTCTAGAATTCATGAGGTCCAGATCTTTATTTACACTAATGAGAGACAACTGTACATAATCCCAGTTTAGCACTTACGTTTGTGATGGTTACTAATAAGACTCTCAATGTTTTGTTCTTATTACCTTTATTCATCATGATCTGTTTAGAGATCATTTGTTTACACTTAGCACTGGGACCGAATTGCTTTAATGGCTTACATTTTAATGATATAATGTAAGTCTAAAACAATGTTCACAGTGGAACCACTAAATGCTGTATGAATGCAATATAGTAATATTCAAGAAGTGTACCATCTTACATATAATATAGTTTGCCTCTATCAATGAATCCTAATTAGTCATATGGAAAAAACATGTGCGTTTTGTAATAACATTATGCTCATTGAAATGCTAATTCTGCACTTTTGATATACTCCTTTACCTGTTTCTTATCAAACTTTTTCACTGACTGCACCATTTGAGAAACTCATTTACTCTATAGATAAATGACAAAGCGTCATCTTAATGATGGAAGGAAATAAACGGTCTCTTTCATTTGTCTTTTCAACTATAAATCTTATAGTTCTTTTTGCCAGTCTGTAAACAATGCAGTACAGAACAAAATATTGTATACAGTTTAATAGTATAATAATTTGAGCAATAACAAAACCTCTAGTTCTAGCACTGCAGTTAACATACCCAAACATGCATCCTGCTGTCTAGTTCATCTAAATTAATTTAAAACACCTTCGCAGACTCATCAGGCTGTTCCAATGGGCTGTAGCCTTTGGTTGTGTTGTAATCATTAGCATAGCCATGTCTTAGTATGATGAATGCCCCTATCAAAGGCCAGCTTCTTTTCATGACTGCTCCTCTGAGATCAATGCACTGCTCTCTGTCTCCCAGACAACCGCACAAGACCTTTCACGTACACTGACGCTGCCGTGGTGCAGGTAATACTCGTGCATTTGTCTGCTCCTGCTCACTTGTGCCCACAATGTGTTTGTATGTGTAGACATCTGTGTTTTCACCCTCTTTTACAACTCGTTGTCACCAAGATTTATAGAGCATTTATCCTGGAGCCCACAGCTTGTGAGAAACGATGATCAATGCAGATGAACGAATATTGATTTGGGCAGTAGAGAGAAATATGACTGCCATTGTTAGTGCTACTAATTAGATTGTGTGATGAGGGTATGAGTCAAAGATAGCACCCACATGTGATGTTACTGACCCCT